GCCTCGGATTGTTTGATCTCAAAGGTTTACAACATTGATGTGAACGTAACGATTTAGTAATCTAAAAACGTTAATGGCTGCTTGTTGACTGATTTTAGTTGTTGTTTACCGACACAAACGGAAGTGACTTTAGGACTCGTTCGAGGTCGCCGAAGGTGATGAAAAGGAAAAGCAGCGATATGTGTTCCTTTTCAAGAACAAGCTAATGATCACTGAGAAAAATGATTCCTCCGAGCCAACCACCTACACTCATTTGGCTACAATCAGAGTAAGTTCGAGAATGTTTTTCAAATTTTGAGGAAGGGCACCGAAAAATCAATGACTAATATTTATATTTTAGCTTGATAAATATACAGTGACTACTCATGTACTTAATGAGGACGTTATTCTTCTCAAACCAAACGAACCCGGATTACCAAGTTTCAGGTAATCGCTTGAATTCCTACTGTAACTGACAGTTTTGCTCAGTAAGTTGTCATTTGCAGCTTGAAGCCAAAAGATATTGCAAGATCTGAATACGTACGAAAAGCTTGGGTGAAAGACATTACCGAGGAGCAGGAGGCTTACGGTATGTCGTTTTTTGCAAAAGTTGAAGTTATCAGGGTCATTCCTAGTGATTACCTTATTGGGTCAATTTCAATAAATACAGCCCCTGGACCTAGATAAGGCACAGGGGGTATTTAAATAAGAGTAGCCAAGGGTCGGCAAGGTACTGTGCTTGGGACTAAAGCCTTAGGGAGGGGACAGGATTCGGGGAGGACGTGACAATTTGTGCTCCTTGGCGCTTATCCCCTCTTTTGTGCGTACTATTAGTTCTAGTGTCACCCACCATCGGCCCTGTTTTGAATGCCCCTTATCTTTCCCTAAGGACATAAGGTCCACTCCTCTCTCCCTAAGCTCCCTAAGACATGAGCGCCCCAAGAGTCAGCTGCGGAAGAAGAGACTGTCAAAAATTGGATAGACACCATGGCATAAAAAACTTCAAAATGGCCGAAATAGGATATAGAGCAGGTGCAAGAAGCTCAGCAATTCATACCTCACAGCTCGTGGATCGAATCTATCATCCTCCCTGAATATCCATCTTCAGGTCGTATGATATGCACCGCTATTGGGCGTAAGAGATGGTCGAAAACAAACCCTGGGAGTCAGCCAATCTTTACAAAGCGTCAAGCTGTACTAAGCCCCTCTGCAATTCCGTCCGGAAACGAGTGCGTGCGTATCTCCGAAGCAATAATAGCTTAGCTTTTCACCCAAATCCTCAAAATGAGCAAATTAGCTTGGATTCCTCGAAAATATGTTCTTCGAACTGACGAATGCATAGCGATTTCAAGATTCAATAAAAAGCCTCCGAAGACCGATTTTGAGGATTTAGCCTAGTGATAGATCAACCCGGGAAAAGTCTCCGTTGTAAAGTGATATGGGTTCAATGGGCTTTCACATGATTGGTGGACTTGGGTGAATATAAGTAGCAAGATTTGGCCAGTGATATAACTTACCTGGATCGCGATCACGATCATCAACACACGTTGTGATCATCGCCAGATCGGCAGCAGCATTAGCCAGCCGCCAGCCAGCCAACAAGCTAGCCAGCCCAGTCGGCCAGTCAGCCCTCAGCCTTCAGCCCTCCACCGCCGCCACCTCATTCGGTTGTAATACGCGTCGCGCAGGCTCTGACTCTCGACTCGGCCGTTTCTTTATCAGCCCCGGAACAGCCGTTAGCATACCTCAGCAGAACCTCCGCTATCTCTCTCCCATCCCCGTGTAACCTCCGCCGACATCGCTATCGCTACCGCTCACTTGAGCCGGCGAGAGCTATGCGCTGGCACTGATTCCTAGCCAATCCACCCACGCGTCACCTCCGGAAAACTCTGTCACCCTCTAGACAATATTACCACTCGTACTTTATCTGTCCCCGAATCGTCACTGCTTATCCCTTCGTCTCAGCCCTCCCGAGGAGGCACCCAGCTCCCCACTGGTGTGCTCTTTTCACGAATCTGATCCCCCATCGAATCGATTCATCGATCGACCTAATCAGCAGCTATGGTGCTTAAAACGCTTTATATTATTGAATTGACGGATACCCACGAAGGCGGGCTGGAACTCGTTGATCCGTCATGGTGTGAGTACATTATTGATTCATTTTATTGATTTTCTTAGCCGCTGAACGTGAACAAGAAACGGAAACGATATCCGAATACGACATGCATCTCAGCGATATGCGTTCTGAGTTCAGCGAATACTCAGGCTCACGCAAAAGCAGTATCCATGCCACTGGTAGTCACTGAATCCGTATTGATCGACAGGAGCTGATCAGCCGATCCATTATTGATTTATTGTTTTTTTTTTCGGAAGCGGCTGATCAGCTCTATAGGTGTTGTGTTGTGGCGTTTTTGTGCGTACCTATAAAAACGAGTTCAAGAATGAGGAACAGCTGTCAGGTATCTGATCATCGGGTTCTACATAGGAAACATGGATTATCGATCGTATTGATTAGTGCATTGAGCAAAACTCATCAGCGAATTTTGCTTCGTCGACATTTCCACGTGTAGCACTTGATGTTTGTTTGCGTAGAACATCTTGATCTGACGCACGCACTATTGCAAATGCAAAACTATCGATTAGAAAAGGCTAACAGTGGGGAATCGATAATCATACAGAATGAAAATGAATCGATAAATCGATGCGAGTAACTCAAGTATTTAGACTATTTAACGAGAAACCGCCAACTAACTAAATTTTTCCAAATTTATGTGGTCCTTTGTTCAGTGAACTTTTGTGCTTTTCAGTTCATATGTGTTGTTTGTATTGAAATATTGATTTTAACTACTTTGGTCCACTTAAGGTCCCGAAGAGGGTGGTCCACCAAGGAAAAAGGTGAAATCGCCACCGGCTATTTCACCAACCGGTTCCTCTACCAGTATCTACTCCGGTTCCTCTACCCTTATACCTCTTGTGGAAGTAGCAGTATGACTGGAGTGCACTTTGTGTCGTTTTTTTATCCTCACCTTCCCGGTTCATAACTTTCAATAACATATAATCTTCATTATTAACACATTGACGACCGCGCGCGTTTTGGCTTTTTTGGCCGTGTGGGACCGGGCCGATTTTGCGAGTGCGACCGCCGCACCTCGGATCCGTGAATTTTTATTGATAACTTTTTAAAGCACCAGTGGTACAAAAACATCTCAGTAACAGTCAATGCGTAGAAGGTAATAGAGTATATAGTGACGAAGTTCCGATTAAAGAACATGTAATGGTAATGAAAAAGGAAACTTTAGTCATTTTATCTGTAGTGGATGCCAAAAGCTCTTTTGATGTGGTTATACCAAGTGAAACATGTATTTTTCTGTCTCTTTAGATTTGCATTTACTTTCACTACCCTTTTTTATTGACGTGTTCATGAGAATAGCATGAAAACTATTAATGAACCAAGCCGCCGGTTTCGGTGAGCTTGGAAAACTTCTTCTAAACTGGAGCATATTTGAACAAACAATGACCTATGTCGTTCACAATAATGTTATGTTCTAATCCATAGAAGAGAGACAAACAATTCGGGAAAAAGCTGCGCATGCCCTAGAAAAAGGGATGATAAGGGTGAGACGCGGTAACGCGTCTCAATGTCCAACGAGGTGCGCAAAGTGAGACGCGTTACCGCGTCTCAATGTCGTCAATGTGTTATAAATTTATTATTATAATACATTATACGAAAATTATTCGGACATATATTCGGCCTCACTAGGGGGTTTATCTACTATCAGATGTATTCAGAATATTCGGAAGAAATAACTAACATATAAGAATAGAAAAGCCATATTTTGCCTGCTTGAGTACCAATTTTAAGAAAGGCCAGCTCCGTGGACATCCATATAGAATATTTCGCCCTCTGCATAAGTAGGAGCCATCATATAACTTGGCCGGTTCTTCTGGTATAAACGCGCTCAGTTTCGTGTCGATTGTGAATCCGGAAGGCGATTTTTGTTGTGGATACATTTAGCCCGCACGCTTGAGAATACCGTATGCCATTTGGTCGTTTTATGGGGTCCATTTGTCAGTTACAGAAAAGTTACAGCGGAGCTCTGTGAAGCATGAATCACTCGCTTGGTGCAAAATGTAACGATTTCCAGGCTGGAAACATCCCATGCTTCTGTTGTGTGGGAGGAGACGCCCTCAGTGAGATGCTTGGAAGCGGTTTGAGACTCAATAAATGCACCTGAACCTGCCATCTGTTGACGACACCTTTGCATGCGGAAAGAGTCAAGATCACGTTCTGAGGGGTTAGCTTGGATCTATTCGATGAACATACATCACTGTGATGTTCAGCCACAAAACGGAAACATTCTAAAGTTGCTTACTAAAACACTGAAGGTAAACGCCCTCGGGGCCCAACTAAAGCATAGATGGGGCTTGCGCAGCGCTAGAGAGCCCCTTTGAGCTTTGTGAGCCTGTGGGGTGAATGCTCTGCACGATTCGTTTGTTGTGATAGGGTAACATCGTGGAAAAGCAGAACATTCCAGCAATTAGCATGAAACTGATGCTACAATTGATCTTAGTCACCTATAAGACCGTACTTCAATAATGTGAGCGTCAGGAGCGATTGCACTGAATTAATCAATGACGTTTTGTTGTTGATGATCAGAACCTCAAAACGCTCTTCTCTCCCACCCCACCCATTTTTGAGAAGTAATTCTGAGAAAAAAAAACAAGGAAGGGTTCGAAAAATTAATTCTGTCGCCTTATTGCTTTTCGCTGGTCCAACGCCACAGGATTTGTGAACCTTAATCCATTTTTGGTAGTTTATTAATTCCAATACATGAGTGGTTGCACAATAGGGAGAAAAAAGATGTGTCTTATTTATTTACTTGTTTATTTATTTACTACTATTTGTTTACTTATTTGATACTTATTTATTTGTTTATTACATAGGTGCGCTATTGCGTAACATACCGAAACGGGAAGATGAGAGACACATTTTTACGTCTACCAGTCCATGAAAAAAAGGAAAAAATGCTTGAAAAAGAATAAGAAGCAGAAGTGGGATAGAAAAAAGGATGTCTAGAATAGGAATAAAATTTATATACAAATAAAGGCTTCGAGTCAGGCATTTGGGTGGGGCATTAAGCTAGATGATTGTAGTGGTCATTGGGGTGGTCTGGCGATTATTTATTTATTACTTGCACGCAACAAAGAGGAAAATAATTATTTATCCAATATTTAAAGATAAATATAATAAATAAATAAGAGTTTAAGAAATAGAAATTCTTAAAAAGAAATCGAACAAAAGAAAGAAAATTAAGAAGTAAGAAAATCAAATTAAAAAGTACATTCGCATGTATTTTGCGAATTTTTCAGACAAAATCGCCCATGAACTAATCTTATAAGAGCTGTTGCTAAACAAAGAGCACCATTCTG